GTGAAGCTCTTTTCAGATTCAAAAAAACCTTTGAGGAAATGTATTTTCAGATGCCAAGTAAACTGCATCATAGCACCCCCCCACCGCCCCCGAACGGGATGGGACAGAAGCAGAAGGCGGTTCTTAAAGAGACAGAGACCAATTTCAAGGCCTTTAGAAGAGGAAGTGATGAGAAGATAAGTTTATTTTCTATTTAAACATAAAAACAGCATTTTAATAACAGCTAAAGGTGACATAGATACTTTATGGTGTAGTATTTAAATATATGCCTGAGAAACACATAATATTGGCCCTTTAAATAAATCTTACTTTGTTTATTATAAAACAGATTGATTTAATGCTTCTGTTTGTTAGAAAATACTTAAGAATTTTTTTTTAAATCGCATATCAAATCGCAATTTATAGATTAAAATAAAAATCGCAATTAGGTTATTTTCCAAAATCATTCAGCCCTAGTTTAAAAATAAACAAGGTATTTTCAGGATTAGCAGTGAGGATGCACAACCAATACTCACCATCTCTGAAGTAATGTATTTGAGGTCTTGATGATCACCCTGCACTGTGGGAAGCACAAAAGGCTGAAAAAATAAATAAATTAAAGTGTTATTGGACAGGAAAAGCCTTTACTCAAGTTAAAACCATGCCTATGAGTTTGTAAGTATAGTAAGTATATCACCTTCGTGAAGTCTCCTATTAGCTCAGAGCTGCTCTGCCCATCAAGCAACTTTTCAATCTCTGCTTGACAGAAAGACTTGGACCTTTGGAGCAGTAAACAACCCTGGAAGGAAAGAAAGAGAAGACGTAAGGAGGCAGCAAACTCATTGGAAACAATGAGCCATCAGAAAAAAGTCTTTACCTTCTTCACAAATGAAAATATGCCTAATGTGTTGCAACCAAATTATCAATAACTTTGTCTTAAGCTGCAGTGTAGCACAAACTGAACCCCAGAGATTAACCTGCTGCAGGACCACAATAATACTTGCCTGGTAAAAATCAGACCCTTGTTTTTCACTTTGCTCCTAGGGTCTGGAATCTCAGCTATAGAGAAGTGATTCTTGCAGGAGGCGTGGCCTCTGCTGAAGTTTAAAACAAATGGATCGGTTGGTATGTGTATGCCAGCTCCACTGTGAAGGAGGCTAAGCTAAGAAGCTAACTGGAAATCGTGTGTGCTGTAAACAACCCTACTGAGAGGAGAGAAGTACCGAGCTGAACGAGACGACTGTAAATGAGAGCTGCTGCTTTGTCAGACAAATTTATTTTAATTTGGAAGCCTTATCAACACGGACTGGCTTCATTCACTTCCTCCACTGCTGTATGCTAAACTAACTACACTGCGCAGAACATCGACGTCGTTCAAAACTTCTTCTGTTTGCTGATTGGCCCAGGTAAAACTCTCCTGAAGAAATCCTCGTCTATGGGAGAAATCCCAGAGCAGTGAAAGCAAACTAGAATTGAGCGGAACTGCGTAGGAAGGCAAGGGTCAGGCTATAATAATACCAACAGAATCATTTTTTCCAGCATTAAGATGTGGGAACTAGGCCTGTCACTGATAAATTTGGCTGGATGCTAAATTCTCAGAAATTATTACCATAAACAATCATTTTGTTTGGAGACCATTTTAAATTAATGATACCCCTCACTTATGAAGATTTTTGGAGGTTTATGAAATTTGCACACATTAAAAAATAAAAAGTTAAGACCTGATCGGGACAGGGCTTTGTGACAATGACACACAACAGATACTGAAGCTGTAACAGCACTTACCACCTCCTCTGTTCAAGCCAGCACAATTTACTCTGCACATTGCTTCCTCTGGCTTCATAAAATCACTGCGAACACCCTCACGTCACTTACCAAATTTATGAAGTTTTAAAAAAATTTGTATAGCGTAAAAATAAAATAAAATAAAATAAAAAACACAGCTGCCCCTTCACATCAAGACAGGGTCCAAATCTTGGTGCTTTTTTTAATCTTAGTTTAAAATGTTTTTTTTTTTCAAACAGCTTTCAATTCAGCTTGAGTTCACCTTTTTTCACTTTCATAGTTTATGTTTTGGTTTATCAGATCTTAACTACCTAATTTACCTAATTTCCCTCTGGGATCAATAAAGTATTTTTGAATTGAATTGAACTGTTCTTATGGGCTTGTTCTTTTTCTGTTTTTTCCCATTTGGATTGTGTGCAGAACTTTGACTTTACTGCAGCTTTTGGTAATCATCGCCAAATCCCTGAACTCACCATTCTTGGAGATTCAGGGTTTTGTTCCAGGGTGGTGACATGGGTTCCRGCCAGGCTCCGTCGTCTCTTCACTCGAACGGGTGTGTTTTCATCTGCGGGGCAGTCGGGCCGCTTTGCAGAGGGACGGGACACCGGACTGGGCATGGAGGGGGAACGAAACAGGTTGCGTGGCCGACATCGAATTACAGGCTAAAGATTCAGGGAAAACACAGAAAATATGGACATTTTATCATCATTTASTTCCATGTCTTTTAGATAACTAGRGGCTTAATTCTGAATGAAGCAATTWYAAACTTACAGAGTCCTCCTGAGGGCTGTCAGCCATCAGTGGAGCAGTGAGCAAGTGTGCCATTCCTGATGGCATACCCGAGTCATCCTACATGCGACAAAAAAATAATTAAATATGAGCTATTACACTTATAGCACAGCAGAAGAGAAGGATCTAATTATATAAAAGCATAATTCTCCACGCAGTGCCATCTGACCTCCATGTTGTCATCAAGTATCTCTAAAAAGCCATCATCATCGTTTAGAGAGGAGGTGAGCGAAGAGCGTCTCAGAAACACAGGGCTCGAGTCGTACAAGTCCAGTTGCTGGACGGCAGGAGGTGAAGTCAGCTGAACAAAAATTAAAAAAAAAATGCACAGAAAGTCAGTCTCCTTTCAAAGCTGGGCCAGAACCTCCAGAGCAAACCTGGAGAGATTCTTCAGCTTCTCCTACCATGAGAGCTGGTGCCGAGCTGGCTCTGACGGCAAAGGCATCGTGTTCACCATTGAAGGAGCGTATGCGGCTCCGTGAAACGGGCTTGGATGGTTTTTTAAATTCAAAACTTCCCTGAGAAAAACAAAAAACAAACAAGACAAAATTTTTCACGGTGAGAAGCATTACCAAACTCTCAAAAATCAAGAAAACGTATTCAATTTACAATATTTCTGCAGGCCATCATTTGTTCCAGGTTTGAGCTTAGTCTGGTCAACTATTATAATCATTTAAAAACAGACAAACCTATCTACAACATGAGTGATCAATAAGGAAGTAACTTCAGTTTAATCTAAAAGAAACAATGCRTTCACCATGGTAACAATTTTAAACACTAACAGGCTCAAAATGGAGCAATGACAGCACGCTGCTAAATATTCTTGTCATACATTATTCTAGAAGTTTTCTATCAAACAGGCTCCTGACCTCAGGCATGTTCTCTTTGTTGTCCTGTTGGGAGATGGAAGAGTTTATCTGGGAAGGCTGATGGCTGAATATTCCATAACGTTTAGAGTCTGATTCTTGTCCTTTCAGACACGGACTGAAACCCAGGAGCTGGAGCTAACGTTGACAGGAGACAAGAACGTACCAGTTAGTAAGGCTCGGTAAGCCTTAAAGAAAAAAAAATTCAAATAAAAATATTTTAAAAAGTTTCAAAACAAAAGGATTTTGCAGATAACCTAAAACCTTGAAAGTTTATCAACAGAAACAGGAATCGTCCAAAAAAAAAAGTCTGATGTAACAAGTTAAAAAGCTACATGATTTGTACTGAAGGGTGACAAAAACAAAAAACCCAAGCTAAGATGAGGAATGTCCCAAACTCAGATTGGATTAATAATCCAGGTACGGCCCACGACTTCTAAACAAYTCGATTTGAGCCTTCCTGAGTTTTTTACTTTGTTCTTGTTCTCCAGTTTTATCATCAGACCTTACTTTAGCATTCATTTTCATTTACTTTCTGTGTTTTGCCATGATTTGGGATTACGTTGGTTTTAAACCAAGGAGTTACTCAACAAATTAAAACACTAAATGTACCAGATCTGGGCTGCTGTTASAGGCACTTTAATCACACTGAGAACAGATGTAGTCATTTTCTAACATGATACCCTTTTCCTCACACCACATATTTTTAAAGAGGGCGAGGTTATACGAATTTTCCAGGCACATAGTTCAATCCTATACCACAGTCCATTAACTATGTTACCTTTAGCTGTTATAGAAATGCTGTATATATCAAAAATAAATTAGATTTTGCATCATGGTCTATCTAAATGTCTTGAAACWGACCTGAAATTCACTGCCGTTTCCAACACATAACAGTGTGTTAGTACAGATTACACTAACTGCAATCTAACAAGAAGAGCTGCACAAAACACTAAAATAACTTACTGGTAATGAGTTGATTCGTCGAATTGGCATCTTCCTATAATTAACAGAAAAACAGACAATAAAAATCACAAGATCCATTACCAGAACAATGTGATGTTTCACCAATTAATAAAGCATTAAGAAGCTACTGACTCATTAACAACTCTGCTTGACTGCTGAATGGACTTTTCAAACCTGTAACAAACCAGAGAACACGATAAGTTATAAACTATCAGGAAGATGCATTCAAGAATAGTACTGTATGTTTCAATACCTGCCAGTAAAYCACACAGAAAAAACACACACWTGGGTAAATGTTCCAGATGAACAGTTGGATTTAAGGAAGTTAGGTGGTGGTCCTTTTCATTGGAGTCATGCCCACCTGTATGCTAAACAAGCAGTGCTGAGGGTTAACCTTACAGCTCATGGGGGGATGGGAGGGCAGGAGAAAGGAGGCCAGGATCAGCTACCAGATGCCTGCTAGAGGKGACGTTGCTGAGCCCCATTCTGCAGGAGTTCTTTGTTTGTTAACGGGGGGGAGTGCATCTGATTCAGAAATCTGTGGCGGTGCCCTCATTTCTATAGGGCAGACCCCCCCCCCGAAACAATCCTGCTTAGAGAAAAGTGTGCCAAAACCCCAACTGGAGGAGTATCATTCAGCCCAAATGCAGGGTATGTCCTCCCCCCAACCTGAAAACCTCCTAGCAACCCAAAAGCTGTGCCGAAGGTGKATGAGGTCTTTGGCACCAAATGAATGGACCTCAGAGGAGCAGATGTTCTCAGAGAGCTGCCCYAGACCACGCAGTAAGGATATGCTGACAACTGGTTTAGACAAGTTTCACTGGGGAGCTGTGTTCACAGCCCTTACTCAAAACTAGCCACACAGTATAATACGTTATATGTTATAATACGTTATCCGTGTTTTTTTGGTAAAAAATGACAATGATCAATTATCGAGCTCACATTTCTTTTCTGCAAATTTAAAAATTAGAAAATGTCATTTCTTCTAAAGTCAACAGAAGAAACAATCCTTTAGATGAGAAATGGAGTTTAGCTAAGCTGAACCAAAGTTAAAACGTTTGGGTGAGAAGGGCAAACTGATAAGAATTGTAAAAATAAGATCGTAAAAAGAACTTACGCGTCTTCCAATTCACCATCAACAGGGCTGGGGAGATCCAAACCAAGACCTCAAGGAAAAGAAGTGAATCTCAATTTTATGTAAGAATCAAGTGATACAATAGACAATACCTGGCTTCTTAAGTTTCACTGATTGGAATAAGAACAATAACTTGAAGTTCCAGCCTTTAAAAACTAATTACAGCTGTAAAAGAGGGTGAAAAATGTGTCTACAGTTAATTTTTACAAAACTGTAATTGTTGCAAAATTTTACACTTTACAGTATATTAATTTCCTAAGGTTTTTTTAGCAAAAATCTAGGCATTTCCAAGATGATAGARGGAAAAGCACAGTTTTTTCTAATACAATGCTGGAAACGGTTTTGATACATTTCTGTAAATTAATCATTTAGTCAAAACACAAAGTCCTCAGATATTTATCTAAAAGGTTTTAGTAAAAACAATGAAGCTTACCGGCATCAGAAGAGGTGTCAGAGGCAAAAGAGGGAACCTTCTCAAGCTGTGCYTTTTTTCTTCTTTTTGGTGTGTCACATTGGCTGCATGAACAAGAAATAAAAACAGAAAATCAAAAATGCGAACTTTAATTCTGAGTGAAAGGCAAATAAATGGGAAACAAAAAGTACAAATAACACGTATTAAAAGTACCTTCCTAGTCCAATTAAATTGTCCATGTCCAGCGCCAAATTGGTAACAGGGGACAGAACCGCCGCAGGTCCTGGAGAGAACAGGTTCCTGCAGTGCGAGGTCTTTGTGCCCACATCCGGCAGAGCGAGCGAGGAAAGGCCGGGGATCGCATCGGGCCTCGTATTAAAAGCGCTTTTCAYTGGACTCTTGCTGCTAAAACGGGGTTCCATCTTTACGGCTATCCGATCTGTGCGACTCCTGGTGACGATGTCAATTCGTGATCGATTTAATCCGAGCTGCGAGTCGTACAATCATGCCAAACAGCAACACAAGCGAGACCCCACGCTAACCCGGAAGCTAGCCAGCCACAAGTGATAACTCAAGAAAACATTTCCAAAACTACGCTCCGAAGCACCAATTGGAGGTGACTCTGCAGTCCCGCGTGGGCTAACCTTTCATTCGGTCTTGTTGAGTTACTGAAGCCACATCATTTTACGTGGGAAAAGTGGCGATAGGTAGTTTCCCCTGTCTATCTGCCCCTTGGTCTCTGACTGAGAAAGACTGGGGAGCTAATATTTATGTTCAAAATYAAAGTGCAGGAGCGGCAAATTTCCAGCCAATCAGAGCTGCTGTAACATCCAGCTGACCAATCAGAGCTCCGAACGAGTCTTCGCTGTTGTTCTCTCGCCAGTAGGAGGAAGTGATGTGATGTTCATGAGATTACTTTTTTTGTTGTTTTGTTTTCAAACTGTAAAAGTAACGTTTATGATTTATACTTTTTTTGTTTGCCGATAKATGTTGAAAGTGATAACAATGAATAAATCAAAATAAACGTTATTTCAAAGAACTTTTCATACAAGAAAATGTCTGTAAATATACTTAAATGTCTACTTTCTTTGGAGGAATGCATCACCCATTTCCTTTCATCCAAGTTTCAGATCATCTTGTGCTGAGAAATTATGAAGTTGTAGTTGTTTTGAGATACATATAAACAAAATAATATACATTTATTGCTAAAGCTTAAGCATAATATGGGAATATTATGAAAATTAGTCTCAGCTTCAAACACCATAAGTTATTGAAMAATATCTTCAAAACTGAAATGAAATCTAATCTGTTTCTAAGGTCATTTTGACTGTTGTGGCCATCTTGATTTGCGTTCAAAACGTAATCAGTTTAAGACAGAGGAGCCCAAAGTGGGGCCTGTGGGCCAAATTTGGCCCGCCAAGTCATTTGATTTGGCCCACCAAAAATTGAAATAGTTACTAGGTTATACCTGTCGTACTATATCGAAACAATATTTCCACTTAAAGCTATTTCATCCATTGGCCCAGTGACTATTTAAGAAGCTGTTGTGCAGATAGTTTTCACTCATGATGCAGACTTTATCTTTGATATATTAAGATTAAACATGAAACATGAAACACAAGTAACAACCAGTGGATTAGATTTAACCAGAAATGTAGGTTTGCACACTTTATAAGACCACAAAAACTCATATTTTATCAGTTTATGAAATGATTTCCTCCAAGTGGACAGACTAAAACAAAAGTGMGCCACCGCGCTGGCTGCTAGCTTAATCGTTAAAAATAAAGGATTTTGATTAAAAAGTATTTCTATTTCATGTATTATATTTCTGCATTTGGCCCGCAGCCCCAGATAGATTTTCATTTGGATGAGATAACTCATTTTTTGAGTTAATATTAATCTGCAGTAGGGTCACTTCATTTTGGCCTCCCCAACAAATCCCTCCATAAGCTTCAGATG